TGAAGAAGTGCGGGTACTGTACCCATCTCCAGAGGGCGAGGGGGCCCCCCCCCGCTCCCCAGGGGGGCCCCCCGGGGGGCCCCCCCCAGCCCGCAGGGACAAGTCCCTAATTGTTTGTCTCTTTACCGAACTTAATGTTATAAAGAATATCCGCGGCCGGCAGCCCTGCACCGGCGCGTGCACCTGCGGGGGCCCCTCGGGGGCCCCCTTGGGGGCCCCCTTGGGGGCCCCAGGGGCCCCCTTGGGGGCCCCGGGGGCCCCCTTGGGGGCCCCCCCGCCCCCCGCTGCGGCCCTCCAGCCACTCCCTGCAGCAACGCACCAGCCAAAAGATCTACTTCTATTTATAATATTAAATGCAGATAAATGTATTTCCTTTATAAAGCAAAACAGCAAAATGTGAAAAAGAAGCAAAGACGCATGCAGACTCTGCCTCCAGCTGCGGTGGCAGTGGACACAGCCACGGCTAGCTAGATAGCTAGCTGGCTAGCCAGCTGGCTAGCTAGCTAGTTGCGGCTATTAGTGATAGCTAGCTAGCTAGCTAGCTAGGTCGCTGTACTTCAGAGTAAACACACCGACTGGCTAGCTAGGTAGCTAGTTAGCTGGCTAGCCAGGTAGCTAGCTGGCTAGCTAGCCACGTAGCTAGCTAGCTAGCTAGCTAGCTAGCTAGCTAGCTAGGCGATGAGCTGCATGCAGCTCACCGCTGCGGACTCTGGCCCGTTTGGCCCTGACGCCGTTGCTGCTGCTGCTGCAGCTTTTGAGAGTATTGGAGTCGCTGGTGACGGAAGCAGCGCAGCAGGACGAAAAAGGAGACAAAGGGACAGCAGCAGCAGCAGCAGCAGCAGCAGCAGCGCCAAGAGGATCCTGCTGCGAAGCGCCAGAGCCCCCCTTCTTCAGTGCGGCAGCTTGCCGCTGCTGCTTTGCTGCAGCAGCAGCAGCAGCAGCAGCAGCACCCCGCGGGGCTGGGCCACGGCCCCCCGAGGGGACAGAAGCAACAGAAGAAGCTGCTGCAACTGACGGGCTGGAGACAGATGCCGGCGTGGGCCGCTGCAGCAGCAGCAGCAGCAGCAGCAAAAGCGGCAGCAGCAAGTGCAGCAGCAGCAGCAGCAGCAGAAGTGGAAGCAGCGCGAGCGCCGCTAAGTCCCTTCTGAAGCACGCGCTTACTACCACAGCAGCAGCAGCAACCCTGCAGCAGCAGCAACCCAGCATCAGCAGCAGCAACAGCAGCAAGCCTGCAGCAGCAGCAGCAGCAGCAGCAGCAGCAGCTCACCTCCTTGGTTTTGATCTTCTGCTGCCGCCTGCGGGGCTGCTGCTGCTGCTTCCTCTGCGACAAAGAAGCCGCGGGAGAAATGCTGCGGGAGACCTTCGGAAGGGCCTAAAAGGAGACAGTTGGAAAATAAAATAAAATAAAATAAAAGAATTAAAAAAGAATATTAAAATGAGAAAAAGAATAATAAACAAATGAATTGGAAAAGGAGACAGTTTGTGGAGACAGAAAAAGGAAAGAAAAAACAAAAGAGAAAAAGAATTAAAAGGAGACAGTCAAAATAAGTCTAAAGACTAATTAGGAGACAGTGAAATAGACAAAGAGACTCATCAACAGGAGACTCCTGAAAAGACTCCAGCAAGCAGCTATTGCAGCAGCAGCAGCAGCAGCCAGTGTAGCAGCAGCAGCCAGTGCAGCAGCAGCAGCTCGCGCAGCAGCATCCGCAGCAACCCCTGCAGCAGCATCCGCAGCCTCTAGCGCAGCAGCAGCAACCGCAGCAGCCCCTGCAGCAGCAACCCCAGCAACCACTGCAGCAGCAGCAGCAGCAACTGCAGCAGCAGCAACTGCAGCAGCAGCAACTGCAGCAGCAACTGCAGCAGCAGCAGTAACAACTGCAGCAGCAGCAACTGCAGCAGCAGCAGCAGCAACTGCAGCAGCAGCAGAAGCAACTGCAGGGGAGGGTGGGAGCGGGCAGGTGGCCCGCTGCAGCCTGGGGACTGCTGGGGGCCCCCGGGGCCCCCAGGAGGCCAGCGGGCGGGCGGGGGCGCGGGGGCCCCCGCAGCAGCAGCAGCAGCAGCAGCAGCAGCAGCAGGGGGGGCCCCCAAGCGGGCCTGGGGGACTTACGCGCGGCTGGGCCCCGCCGCTCTCCATCAGCAGCAGGCGGGGGGCCCTGGGAGCGCTCGGAGCAGCAGCAAGCAGAGGCGGCAGCAGCAGCCCTTCTCCTCATTGCAGTGGGGGAGAGGGCTGCTGCTGCAGCGGGAGAAGCAGCTGCTGGGGCCCTCAGGCTGCAGCAGCAGCGCGGCAGGGCTGGGGCAGGGCAGCTAGGGGGCCCCCGCGCGCCCTCTTGGGGCTCATCTACGCAAAGATTTGGAAAAGGAACTCCGCAGCAAACTGAAAGAAAGAAAAGCCGAAAAAGAAAGCATCTTAGCAGCCCTCGCACCCGCGACGCCGGCAGGAGCGGGGCAGCAGGAGCGGCGCAGCGAGCCGGCAGGAGCTGCTGCTTTCGCCTCTCGAAGCTGCAATTCTCTTTTAAAAATGATTTATTTAATTGTTATGCAGCTTCGGAGAAGTCGAGTGCGGAAAAGAACGCCGCGCGCCACTCCCGCAGCTGTCCATACACCCCGCCGCTCTCTGTCTGCCTCCCCCAGCCCACGCGCGCCGCCGCCCCCCGCGCCTTCTTTTGCGCTTTTTCTTCCAATTAAAAAGTCCTTTGGCCACTTTTCTCGTTTTCCTTCACCGCTGCAAGAAGATAGCTGCAAAAGGCTGGCTTTGCTGCGGCAGCGGCTGCCCCGCCCGCTGCAGCAGCAGGTGCAGCCGCTGCTGCTGCTGCCCACGGATCCACCGCCCCCACTTCGCCGCTCTGTCGCCTCCCTTTGCGGCTGCTTTTAACTTAAACAACACTATTTTAATTTTAAAAACATTTCGCCTCGACTGGCTGCACTTCCCGCCACCGACTAGCCGCTGCAGCAGCCAGCAGCAGCTGCTGCGGACGCCGCAGCGGCAGCAGCTTGCTGCGTCTGCTGCTGCGCGGCCGCCCCGCTCCGCAGCGCAGGCACTCCGGGGGGCCCCCCAGAGACTCAGTGGCAGCCCCAGGGGGGCCCCCGTGACCCCCCAGCGGGGCTTGGGCCCTGCATGCCGCTGCCTACTCGGGGGGCCCCCCTAGGGGCCCCCGGCGGCCCCTGGGGGCCCCCCCTGCGGCCCCCAGGGGGCCCCAGGGCTATGTGAGTTCTTTGTGGACTCCATATATGCAAAAACCTTTACTGAACTTCACGCAACATTTACTTGAGTTGGAACTCTAGGTCCATATGGATCTGCAAATGGACATTTTCTCAAAATAAATGCATTTCCACATACTTTACTTACCGAGGAAATGCAGAAAAAAATTATATTTTAATATACTTTATATATATATATATATATATATATATATATATATATATATATATATATATATATATATATATATATATATGGACACTGGCTACGAAGTGGATACTCTCTCGAAATATATATATCTTAGCCATATATACATATATATGTATATATATATATGTATATATATATGTATATAAACGCATGATCTACTGGATATTATATTTATAATTTACTAGTTTTATATTATATATATATGCAGTTGAGTTTATGGACATTTGTGCGTTTTAGAGGAACATTTTTGTGTAAATTTTATGCAAATATAAAAAGCATATGAGTAGTTACATTATAGATAAAATACATAAATGTGTAGCATTGTAGGAAATATTTATAAATATATATGTTTTAAATGAAACAAATGAATATATATATATAATATATATATATTATATATATATATATATGCATATTATGAATAGTTGCAATATTGATTAAATATTCATATATATACATATCTATATAAGTATAAATACATACATATATATATATATAGATATTTTAATTACAATATGTATTATTTGTAATGTAACTGTTTGAAACTCCTGAACTTTTTAAAATATTTATTTTGGGATTTGGCATCAGGCTCGCGCATGCATGCACCAGTGTTAGCTTTCCATTGAAAGAACTGCAGCAAAACGAAACAAATATATTATTTCGAAAGTACGTAAAGAAGAAAATAAAAAGAAATGAAATATATAAATATTGTATTAATGCATTTGCGCAGCTAGCTAGCTAGCTAGCTAGCTAGCTAGCTAGCTAGCTAGCTGCCCCAAGCTACTGCTGGGGGCCCCTAGCCAAAGCCCCAAGCCCCCGGCTGCTGCATGCGCCGCCTCCGGGGCTGCTGCAGCACTGCAGCAGCAGCAGGCGCTGCAGCAGCAGCAGGCGCTGCAGCAGCAGCAGGCGCTGCAGCAGCAGCAGGCGCTGCAGCAGCAGCAGGCGCTGCAGCAGTTGAAAAGAGGCCCGAAGGGAGGGCTGGCTGCCCGCTGGGGTGTCTCGACAGCTCTCAGCCCAGCTGCCCCAGCTCCTGAGAAGCAGAAGCGCTGCAGCGCTGCTGCTGCAGCTGCTGCTGTTGCTGCTGCTGCTGCTGCTGCTGCTGCAGCAGCAGGAGGAGCGCCTCGCCTGTCCTGGGAGGCCCGCCCCGCTGCAGTGGCCCCTCCGCTGCATCACCGCGGCGCAGCCGCGCCCCCCTCCGCCGCCGCCTCCGCAGCAGCAGCAGCAGCCGCCTCAGCAGCAGCAGCAGCAGCAGCAGCAGCAGCAGCAGGAGGTCACTGGGCGTGCTGCTGCGCGCGCTGGGCCAGGAGCTGCTGGCGGAGTTCGCGGATTTTGTTGACGACTTCGGGCTTGTGCTCGAGCTTGACTGCGAGGAATTTGTCTCCTTTTAGCCACTGGAGAAACTGGGGACTTGTGGGGTCTGTTGGCCAGGGGGTGAAGTGCAGCACGGAGCCCCTTGCTGCTGCCCACTTTGCTGCTTTTTGAAACAAGTCCGGCAGCAGCTGCTGCTCCCAGCCCTTGAAGACAACAGCAGGAGACAAGGAGACTCGTCTCCGTTCTTGTTCCCACATGCGGAGTTGAATGGCGACGTTTTCGGGGACGGCCCGGGATCGGGATCGGGATCGGGATCGATCCCGATCCCGATCCCGATCCCGCGCCGCAGGGTGCGCACACGCCTCCAGAAACCCCACAATCTCCGCTGCACTTATCCCAGCCCGCAGGGCCCCCAGCACGGAGGCCCTCGTCAAAAGGCCCACCACCAAGTTGGGCAGTTGAGCTGTTAATTCGCACAAGTGCCCCAACACAGATGCATGCAGCGCGGAGGAGGTATACATGTACACTTTGAAGTTGCTAGCCACCACCACCCACGGCTGGCACCCGGGGGGCCCCACGGGGGGCCCCCCGGGGGGCCCCCCGGGGGGCCCCCC